ACCCATTTTAGGCTGGGTTGACATGCAGCAAAGGTAATTTTGATGTGGTTTAAAAACCACCACCTTCAGGCTGGAAATGAGCATCTAGCTGCTACACAGCCATGGCTCCACTAAGCAGATGTTACGTAGATGCTGGTATTAATGGCCTCAGATTTTCCATCTGTCCTTCACTTACACGGGCAACCTCTAGCCTGGCTTCAGTTGTGTCTGTGGTGCACTATCTGTGGTAGTCTTGACGCATGTCTGAACCATTTGACCTGTTGTCTCTTGATGTAGTTTACCACTAGTTTTATCCCAACATATTTCCTGATATTGGTACATAAGGTTATTTAGCTGCAAGCTCAGCCATGAACAAGTCCCTGAACAGATTGCATAAGGTGAAAGGCAGAAGGAGAACAACAATTCATTACAAGAATCAACTTTATTCTTGTACATGATAAGTTTAATAACACTTTTGATTATTACAATGTGCATATTATGAAAAACTCATTCAAATAAAATCGGCACTTGTGAGAGGAGATGCCTGAGGGAAGCTGATAGTCTTACCATCTGAGAAACAATACTATCAGACAGACTATGAGAACAACACCTTGTAATAGATAACTGAGAAATAAAGATAGGAGAGCAAGAGGGCATTCAAGAACCAGGTGGATTACGATTTTGATAGAAGTTTCAAAAAATAAATTGTTAACTATAAAACATGATGTCAAACTGAAGAATCAAGGACTGGTCCTAAAGCAGCTGCAGAAAACCAGTGATAGGACAGTCTGTCTGAGAGAGCTTGGTCCACATCACAGGATAGAGGTGGGGCTGTTACAAAGCAAAAGTCACCAATATATTCTAATAAGTAAATCAACAAAATTGTAAGGTTTACAAGAACACAATCATGAGTGATAGAATGAACATTGCAGCTAGATAGCCCTTCATTAGCAGACTAAAAGACACACCATTTTTTTAAAACCTTCAAAAAATTTAAGCTGTTTTTCAGGGCCTAGGTCCAGGAGTCATCAGAGAACATCTCTTTTCTTCAATCAATGTTTCAACAAATGTCTTTAAAAACTGTGAAAGAAAATTTGGGTGTCATAATTTGTTGCTAACTCTTTTGATTTCAGAAAGTGTTCATGCAAATATACTTTGCTTGATACATGTAAATAAAAACCATTACATGTAATGCTTTCTTTCTACTTTACATTACAGATTTTAGCATAAGGTAACACACATCACAGTAACTCTAAAAAAAATTAAGATAGCCACATCACCATGTATGTAGCAGATCCTTTGCAGAATATGGCTCTCATCACGGTCTACCTGCAAGTCACTCAGTTTCTCACCAACTCTCCTGCCTCACACACTTTCAAACCCAGGAAGTTGCTTATATCCTGTGTCCATTTTCGTGTACCGTGCCTACCACTTTTATTTTTTCCAGTCCACTGTGGTGCTTGATTTGGCCAAAATATTTCGGTCTCCTGGACACATGCTGCTTATTAGCCAGTCTTCCTTGATGTTAAGATCTTTTAGAATGTAAGTATTTCTTTGTCCATGGTATTCTGAGAATTTTTCTAGAGCACTTCCACTCAAAAAGCCCCTATTTTCTTTCTTATACTAAAAAAACAAAACTGATGGGAGTGACATTGTCACTCATCTGTGTCAATTGATGACAGGTGTGCAGAAACAAACAAGAAGACAGTAAATAGGAATGTCCAAAGCAGTATTCAATGATAGACATACTGAAACAATTATAATAAATTAAAAGTGAGAGTAATACAAATATTCTTCGTTATAGTATGGCAAAAAAGGTTATCATGGTCTGGAAAGAATGCTGCAATAGGGAGTGAACAGAAAATGTGGCTGAAATGTTATACTCAGGAGAATAGTAAGGTAGATTTGACACCACTGGAATTGAAACTCTGACTGCTACTAATGATATGAATGGGGTGTTTAGGAAATACTCCAAGTGCTGTGAGGTCAGTTCTGAATGCTACCTGTGTTGGTTCCGGGGCCTTATTGTAGGGAAAACTAAAATAGACCCACTGCCTACCCAAAAACATGTTGTAAGAGTCGACTAATTGAAAGCTTCCTTCGAAGTTGGAGTGCATCTGCCTGAGAGGCAAGGAACCAGCAGTCTGCATACAAATGAGTCAGATCTGTCAAACGGATGCACATGCAACACTCAGGTTCTGGAACAGGACTGCAGTTCAGAAGTGGACGACAACCAGAAATTTTCGCCGGAGTTTACAGCTGGTGATTGCGAAGAAGAAGAGTTCTGAATACAACTATGGTCTGGTGCTGAAAGATGAATAATGAACACATGGAAAATGAACACAACTGACAATTTAAGATAACAAAAATTCACATAACACTGAGAGAAAAAAATGAAAGATAATGTGAGGGGAAATTCAAGCTTTCAAAATTGATATCAATGACTAAGTGGAATATCATATCATCATATGAGAACATAAATCTCATAAGAAATAGGGCCTAATTCAATATTGAATGACAGCACTGTTACATTATCAGAGGGAAAATTACTGTAGTCTTTTAAAGAATGTGCTGAAGAGTAAATATGCAAGGGAAAGGCAAGAACAATGTGATATCAGGTAGATATTTAGATTTAACCTGAAAATTTCTTGTACTGTATTGCAGGAAATTCTCTTAGCATTGTAAATGTAACTCTTGTAAATAGAATCACACATTTTGTTAATATAAATATGTAAAAGGACTCTTCTGATGCCACTGATGCTTTGAGCGGGTAATGCTGACTGATATTTCCTGATATCCAGTTAAGGCTGAATCAACCTTGGAGTCCTTGTAATGCATCTAAAAAAAAAACAACAACAACAACACCCATCTGCAAGCATTTAGCTGTTACCCAGAAAGTTAAATTTGCATTTTCTTTTGAATCAATAGTCGGAAGGTGTTAAGTAAAATTGTTAGCTTATCTGACTCATATAAATGTTATCTGAGGTATTACAATTTACTTAAAATCCTTGAGCATGATAACAACTAGTTATCAATGAAAGGAATAACAAATCTTAATAGAAACTAAAACAAGAATTTACTATCACTTTAGACAATAAAAGTGACTAAAACAATAACAAACACATCTGTTGTTTAAGACCAACACATTAAGAAACAATACCAAAACTGAAATTTCTCAGCCTTTTGAGCAGCAAGCAAATGAAAACATCTTTTGCTTATAACAAATATTACATAACTAGAGAACAGATATTGTCAAACAAGAAGAAAAGATAAGCAGAAATGTGTACACTATAGCACAGGCATGGAACCTTTCCAATTTATTTTAAGCTGACTTCAAAAAATCTGCAACATTTTTTAATAAAAACAGCTGCATATGAGAAAATTCACCAAACAGCACTGAAATAAGAAACAAATGGACTAAGGAAATGAGGCGCTCACAAAACACCTGAACAAAAATGAATGAGAGGCCAAAGGTGCTCTCGTGGATTCCATCCATGGTTCTGTACAATTTTTAGAGGATAGACTGGAGTAGAGGGATAGACTACAGAGCCCTGTGTGATGTATAAATGGCACAGCTGGATGATATGATTAATGTGTTTACTTTGGCCAGTTTGCAATAACATTACCTAATCTTATTTCTCTACATACAAATCTTTCTGTGTAATGCTTGACTTTTATAAATAATTTAGCATAAGAAAACATTTTCATAACTTTTATTCTTCATTTCCTTAAATGATAAATGTTTGCTGCATGTCTATTCTGGCATGAATCATAAACAGAGGGGTAAACAAGGGGTATTTACACACTACTTAAGTTTTTAATCCCCTTGTGGGTTCCAGTTCCTTGTGGGGAGAGGGGGGGGGGGGGGGTGGCAGAATTACTGCCCCCTTATCAAGCATGTCATAAGGGCGATTAATCAAAGGGTCTCTGAAATCAGACATGTTTGGCTGACAGGTGCGATGTGAGGAATTAAGGGAATAAGATGAAGGAAAAGTAGAAGTCTTTCAATACCTATCAACTTATCATGCATTTTCTGGTCACTCCTCAAACGTTTTTGTTTACCCAGTATTCACATTAACCCTTTTTGTCACCCCATAACCCCCCCCCCCCCCCCACCCCCTCTCTTAACAAAAATGTAATTAATTAGTGCACTCCTTCCAGAGACTAAATACACATTCAAGGTAGCCAGATTTTGTTAGTTTGCTTAGAGCACATGGTAAAAAAGATACTTATTATAGAACAGTCTGCGGATGTCCTAATTAAATGTATATTCTATTGACAAACAAATATTTATACTACAACTTTTGACAGTTGATAAAAAATAACAACTGTTAAAACATTACAACAGAGACCTGAAATGTTCATTATACAGCAAGAAACACACAATACAGCAACCTCCAAAGAGGACATAAAGTGCAGAATTTGGAGAATAATGCCAAGAACTGTGTGTGGTACAAAATCTGATTTACACTGCTTAGCTGATTATTCTTGTATTCTGTAAGAAATCAACCACAAAAAAAAAAAATTACAGGTAACCCTAATTCCTGAGGATATGTAATACAAGTTTTATATTGCACGCGTATCAACAAATCAACAATCTTTTGAAAAAGACTTCCAATTGATTAAGGAAATTGGTAAGATAACCAACTAATCTGTATAAAACAGTTAAATGTAATTCAATAGCTTTTAAAATATTTACAACTCCATGCATGACAAAAACTGAAATAAGTTATAATGCTCAAGATGTTAACATCACCTGATGTTACATGAGAAAATGAGTGAACATCACCAGATGTTAAATGTATAAAGTAAGTGATAGTTACCACAGTTTACTGAATGCTCAAATTTTTTTAAGGCTTTTATATAGTGAAAACATTTTTTATGAATGCCACTGGACATACCATGTCAAATGTCATAATAGAAGAATAAAACAAACACAAATTTGTTGCATATTTCTCCTGCAATGAATGCCTAACTTAGTTATTGAAGCTGACACTAAAATATTCAGTATCTCTGAATAGTCAGGTATTGTTGCTGGGCTTTAACCCTGTAACATTACAATTATTATTATTATAAATATCAGATTTTGGGTCGACCGTGCCATATCGCTCAAATTCTGCAGATGTACGTTCATATTTACGTGCCGAGGTGAAAGCTGCAGGTCTGGGCACATAAGATGTCATAGGCAAGACTGCATTTGGATTCACATACTCGTTAGTACCACCTGGCCCAAAGTAGCTGCTGCTGCTGCTAGAATCTTGCAGTTGTGGGTAGTAGTGGCAGAAGGCACCATCAAAATAAATCCCCCCATAGGCAGTCAAGTCACCGCGGTCAGAAGCGCTAACTCGTGCCAACTGTGTGTTCATGTTCATCTGTGTGTGACTTTGGTATGGAAACATGTCACTAGTAATGCTGCCAGGTGGGAACATGTGGTTGCCAGGGATGTCTGCCTCTGTGAACAAGTGTGAGAACTGGTTGTCTGTGAAATGGTGGCTTTGGTTTGTTACTTCTCCCAGGATGCTTTCTGTAAAGAAAAACAATAGTTGAAGAAAATTTTACATTGCATAATATTAAACAACTGCACTAGGGCAGATTATTTTGTAAATGATCAGGACCCTTTAGGTTGATCCAGCCTAACATGAGTACCAGGAAATGTCCTGAGAAGTGAAGTCAACTGGACTGATGTTGAAAACATCACCCATTCAGTGCCAGCTGGTCAATAAACATACAAGTCTAGCACCATATGCCGATGCACCATTGGTGTCAGAAGGATCTTTTAATACTTATACAACAACAACAATTTAGCTAACCTACATAAAAAATTTTAGAGCATAATTTGGCAGTAGTATTTACAACTAACATCTTGCTCTGCTGTTTATCCTCTTGGTGTTGAAATGTAGACATAGTTTTATTGCTTTTTTTTTTTTTTTTTGGTTGTTGAAATAATGGATACTCATACTGTAGCAATTATATAAATACAGTAAAACTTTGATTAAACATCACTCTTTTAACCATCAATTTCTGTTATCCGACATCATGTTAAAAAAATGATGACAATGATAGATCAGTTCTTTACCAAAAACCTACAACTAGCCACTCAGAAGCAAACAATGCATGGACTGGTTTGAAATGCAAAAGGAGGAGGCAAATGCAAGGCAGATATCCTACTTCTTTGTAACATATGGAACATCACCGCACAGAAGGAGATATATTATTTATTAAGTAACGTAGGTTTATAGTATTACAATACATTTCTGTACATAACTACTCTTACACTGAAGTTTATATTGATCATTTTGTAAAATTAAGTACAATATGTATATGTTATATACAAGTCTTGAGATTGGCTGGCAGGTTTTCATACCAGCCAATCAGATTTCTTCTCACATTTCTTGCACACATGAGCTGTTCAGTGATGGCTTTCATGAAAGTTAGTTGTGTTCTGTAATTTTACATCTATTTGTTTTGGGGTGTTATCTGTGCCCACCAATTATGAAAAGGACTGTGGCGTTATAGCACCCAAAACAAAGCAGGAGGCAGAAAAAAGTCTATTAGGACCAGTCTGCTAATAGTCTGCGAGTGTTTTAAAGTTGTACAGTTGTCAGCGAGTCAGTTAAAACTCTCAGTTGTTTGGGAAAGTAGTCATATTCAATTAAAAGAGTATGAATACATCATCATTTATCTAATAAAAATTAGTAAACAATTAGGTATATTTTAGTTTTTCTTTATTTTCCATTTTGTAATGTAGAATCATATTCTAAACTTATCTTTTCCTTTCAACCAACGTGTATAAATGGGGAAGTTATCTTTTACATATTTTCCTTCCACATATTACATACAATTAAAATGTTTTGAAAACACCTTTGTTCAATTATTGCTTTTCATTTTATTTTGACATAAAGTTTGGTCATATCTATTTCATTTTCTGTGCTTTGAGTACTTAAAAATCTAAATTTGTTGAAAAAGGTCAAATACTGAATGTCCCTTTAACAGTACTATCAGGTTAAACGAGATAAAGGGAAATTCTAAAACACATGAAGATAAAAGTGACAGGCAGAGACTTGAATAGCAAAGAAAAAGACTTAAAAGGCATTCATCATCACCATGTAGCAGGTTTTTTTTACAGAGTGTCACTTCTATCATAACTTAAGTGAAAGAAACTGTTTCAACACAAGCTCTCCCACCACATGTACTGTCCTAATTAAGGCATCTCTTATGTCTTGTGCAACTTTTACATTAGTCAGCCCATGTGCCACTCCTAGCCAGCATCATACCCGCCATTAGTGTTCCTTCTGATTTATTTCAACTTTTGATACGGGCATAGTGTTTCAGTTTCTGTTTAATAACTAATTTTCTTTGACATAAAGATTTTTTAGAATGACAATATTTGTTTTTCTCTTTGTCCATTGCATTAGTGGAATTTCTTTTGTAGCATTCATTTCAACAGGATTTACATTTCTATGCTGCTACAGAAAAAATTCACACTCTAAAGATTTTTTACTTTGATATGCTTGCTAGTGCTTAGCCACTGGCTTTTAATGCATTGCTATGACCATCCTCCTATTACATTTGGTGGAACAGTCTCCATTACTGTTTATTATAAAGGAGTTGACATTTATAATTTCTTCATCCTTGATTATTATTTTTGGGTATGGCATGCAGTTTTGTTTGTGGACATTGGCCTACTTGTTTTATTTCACTTCAGGCGGCAAAGTGTTAATTTTCAATGTCATTCTAAAAATAGCTGCAGATGACAAAATGTAGAAAAACTTGGCACATGCTGGCTGAGTGTATAACAGGAAAATCAGAGCAGAAGATTAAGAATAGTTAAAAACTGTGTTGTGTATCCTGTACAGGACAATACAGAACCAGCCCTAGTAAATTCTGGCTCCTTTGGTTTTGCTATGCTATTTACAGTCCCTTCTAAGCCCCTCTATGAAGGTCTAACACCACTGTGACTCAATAGACATCCAGACTGCTAATCAAACAAAACCCAGTTCAATCTCCAACAAATTTATATTTTGAGACATATCATGTAACATCTACTTCAAATACCTTGGTATACCTTGTAGTAGTGCAGATAAGAAATGAAATATTATACATAGCCACAGTATATTTAGAATGGGATTAAGAACACTATTGCAAATGGTTGGATATTAATTCTTGCCTTTCTTAGTCTCCTTGATGGGTGTGATATTCCCAGTTGGCAAATAAATTACAGATGGTGAATTCACTTCCCCAGTGGTTGAAACTAATGCCATGTGTGGCCTCTTTAGCTTGCTGCTGCCTGATTTTTTGAAAAGTGGGCATTCTGTTTCATGAAAGAGAACAATCACTCTGAATAAATACAACTGCATTTATGGATACATTTGATATACCCACGAGTTTCAGTTTAATAAAACTGTTTTTGACCATTATTCTATTTTAGATGTTAATTTCTCCTTTTCCTTTAAGGAATTTTATATGAGAAAAAAAAAACATAAAAAGTGCCATTGTTTTAAAACTCACAGGTAAAGTACAAATCAACAAATGTATTTTTTTTTCAGGACAAATAATGGTAAAGAGGCGAAAATGGCAAAAAATAACAAAACTGCACCCTACTAGGCCTGTCATAAGAGGCATCAATGGGTAAGTTGTGGCTTAAAGTTGGCTACTTCATCTTGGTAAAAACAAGTCAGTCAGTCAGTCAGTCAGTCTCTCTCTCTCTTTCCCTCTCTCTCTCTCCCTTTCTCCCCGTCTCTCTCCCTCCCTCCCTCGCTCTCCCTCCCTCGCTCTCCCTCACTCGCTCTCTCTCACTCTCTCTCTCTTGCTCGCTCACACGCACACAGGCACGCACGCATGCACGCACAGACACAAAAAACCATAGAAAAATAAAAAAAATTGACCCAAAAAAAATACCTAGCCAACTAGGAAACAAGTAAGGTGTTGAGGGGGTGGGGGGGTTCTCCAAAAGAAGTCTGGATGATGGACACACCTCCTTTCACCTTGAAAAATGAAAGTAACACCAGTATGTTTGGAAAAAAGGCCTACTTCAGAAGCTACTGAATGAGAAGAGCAGTACACTGTCTGCCTATCGGAACTTTCATCCAAGACTACCTGCCAACTAAGAATAAGGTCCTGGTCTGACAACATATTAAAGTTTTCATGTTGCACTTTCTCTTCCTTGGAGGCTAGTATCTTTCTCAACATAAGCCAGCTGTAGTATGAGGGATATAAGAAAATTTACAGTAGTATATTTAGAAACCTTGACAGAAAATACATGATTTCTTAGAGCATTGTAAAGTATATCTTAACCTTGGTACAATACTGCAACCTCGTTCTTTATGCCATTACAATTATGATAGTTAAATGTTTGATGTTTGTGCTACTCATTACATAATTTCTTTAGAGAAACAAAAAGACAAAAGATTATTAAAAAAGAAAGACATACCGCGTCTGATGTTTGAACAGTTGACATCCTGACTTGTGCAGCCTTTTACAGTACTGGAATTACTGGTCATGCTGGCCTTGTCAAGCATGCCACTGGGGCTGTCAATGTGAGGCACCGATCTGTTCCCCATCTTGTTCTTCAGAGACTGGTCAAACTTAGAGTCATAATTCAAGTGAAGGCTGGCTCTAAAATGGAGACATCATGAAATTAAATGGATGCCATCAGACTTTCTCCTAATCAGAACTGTCTTTACAAGGGATCATATTATTATGTAGGAGGTCCTTTGCAGAACGTCAATCTTATCATGACAAACTGAAAAGACACTCAGTCCCCTGCCAACTTTCACAACACAGCTTAAATTACTGTTCTATCTAAGTCTGGCATGTAGTACCACCAAAGTATTTCAGTTTTTGAGAAGCGACACCATCTATGAGTGTGTATCCTTCAGTATTCAGATCTTAAAGAATGTCAGTATTTATCTTTTTCTTGGTTTATGATACTGCTAGAATCTTTCAATATTTAAGTTCAAAAGCCCTGAAGAAGACACATGGACACAGCTATATTTTCCTAGGGAGCTGCTTTGGTGTAACGTCTTGATGTTTTCCTGTGGATCTAAAGGTCATAGCTACCAGTCCTTGCAGAGCCGTGCATAAAAAAAAAAATTCCATTGGCTCCCAGGTTAACCCAGCCTAAATGGGTACCAGGTAAAGTCCTGGGATGTAAAGGTGACTAGCATGATGTCAACTACATCACCTACCATGTTCTGACTTGTCTACAAAACAGGTCTAGCCCTATATGCCCAATACACCTTAAGGCATGGAAAAGGGTCCTTTACCTTTACTTTACCTTTATTTCCCTCTATAGAATTTGTGGAGTTTATTTTCCTAAACTAATTGACTGTTTTTAGGAGGAAAATATGGTAAAGAAAGGAACTGGTCACCTATCTCATGCCTACAAATAAAATGTATAGATCTATGATTTTCCATTATTTCTGGAGTATCACATTGAAATAACTTTACAGTTTAAACTAGTGTTTCCCATAACATGATCTGCAGACCCACTGGTAGTTCTGTGGAACAAATTTAAGGTGTCTGAGATATACATTTGCTTTTTTAAACCAACTCAACTTTAGAAGGTCATTTAGTCATTCTAATATTTACAAACTATGATAAGTTCTCCCCATGTGGGTTTCAGGGACCTAGTTGTGGGGGAAAAGGAGAATAGACTCACTACCTCCTAACAAGCATATGTAAGATGAATGTGCATTGCAAAACTCAAGACTTGGAAGACTAAAATCCAGAAGCTGTTGAACAACCAGACCTTTCTGCTAGAGTTTACAGCCAGAAAAGTTGTGAAGTATGACTGTCCATGTCAGTCACCAAGGCATCTGAAGATAGTTATAATATTTATATTTGCAGTTAATGTTTAACACCTGATAATATAATATAGCTAGAATGTCTTTGCTCTGGAAGCACATGGTTAAAGGAATAAAGACCGACCAAAAGAAAAAAATAAGACAGAAAATTGAACTAAAGAATTTGAGTTAAAATGGAAAAATAGGAGGACATGTAGTGAGCTGCATGTGATGACAAAAGAAAAAAATGACAGCACAGTTGGTTGAGGGCCTATGAGAAAGTTAAAAAAAAAATAAGAAAAAAATGGACCAGCAGATGAAGAAGAAACAGAAGAAGATAAAAGAAAGAAAGAAAGAAAGAAAGAAAGAAAGAAAGGAAGGAAGGAAGGAAGGAAGGAAGGAAGGAAGGAAGGAAGGAAGGAAGGAAGGAAGGAAGGAGGGAAAGGAGGGAAGGGAGGGAGGGAGGGAGGGGAAGGAAGGAAGGAAGGAAGGAAGGAAGGAAGGAAGGAAGGAAGGAAGGAAGGAAGGAAGGAAGGAAGGAAGGAAGGAAGGAAGGAAGGAAGGAAGGAAGGAAGGAAGGAAGGAAGGAAGGAAGGAAGGAAGGAAGGAAGGAAGGAAGGAAGGAAGGAAGGAAGGAAGGAAGGAAGGAAGGAAGGACGGAAGGAAGGAAGGAAGGAAGGAAGGAAGGAAGGAAGGAAGGAAGGAAGGAAGGAAGGAAGGAAGGAAGGAAGGAAGGAAGGAAGGAAGGAAGGAAGGAAGGAAGGAAGGAAGGAAGGAAGGAAGGAAGGAAGGAAGGAAGGAAGGAAGGAAGGAAGGAAGGAAGGAAGGAAGGAAGGAAGGAAGGAAGGAAGGAAGGAAGGAAGGAAGGAAGGAAGGAAGGAAGGAAGGAAGGAAGGAAGGAAGGAAGGAAGGAAGGAAGGAAGGAAGGAAGGAAGGAAGGAAGGAAGGAAGGAAGGAAGGAAGGAAGGAAGGAAGGAAGGAAGGAAGGAAGGAAGGAAGGAAGGAAGGAAGGAAGGAAGGAAGGAAGGAAGGAAGGAAGGAAGGAAGGAAGGAAGGAAGGAAGGAAGAAGCAGGAGGAGAAAGAGGAGGAGGAACAGAAAAATTTATATTTTACTAGTAGGATTAGTAGAAGATACTCACTTTTCTACAACCTGTTGCTTCTTTTCTAAAGGAGACAAATCTAGGTCAGAAATCTTTCTCCTGGTCACTTTTTTATTAACTGTGCTTGCTTTCTCAACTTCTCCCAGCCGTACTTCCAATGTGGGGTTCCCATTACTCATAATTTCTATCACCTTGAAAGACAAAAGCAGTATGTGAATGAATCCAGTAATGATGCATTTTACAACTGTAAAGCTACTTTTTTGTATAAATATAAGTTTTATATGGACAGTGAGCCTCAAATAGGCTGCATAAATGTTTAGAAAGAAGGGGTTACTCCAAAGGACATGACTCCGTATCTCTGTCTAGACTGATGGACATGGGAGTGCAGCCTGGAGCTGCAAGAAATGAACATTTCACTAAGGGGACAAGACGTTTCATTAACCAAAACAGAACAGGCATCATCAGTCGTTTTACACTTGTGGAGCTTTTGAGGAGATTAGACAGAGCACCTATGGATCTGTCCGGAGTGCTGCGATGATAATTCTTTCTAATCACTAATCACCAAAGAAGGGGTTACTCACAGTATTAAATAAAAGAATCTATCTTTGGGAATATTTATTTAAAGTGATCTAGGATACCATTATTCTATCTTAAGATATTTGAAGAAGCTTCAAATGAAAACCTTGAAAATGTAGTAGAAATTTATTTATGAGATGAGTTGTCTTCACAGCAGTCTGAACACATCCATAGGTGCTCAGATTGCCCCTTCAACATATACATCAGCATCCCACGGATAATAGTTAATTAATGAAAATTATCATAAAGATGCTTGTAACCTATGACATGTCATTGTAAAGGATGTAAAGAGTGTTAAGCATGTTACCATCCCAGTGCAAACAAACATGTTGACATCATAATAACAGTTTAAAGATGACCACCTCACTTCTGACAGGCACCAAAGAGAAGAAACATTCTATTATCCATTTCTTGAGCCATGAAGGGGTCAAACCTACAGAAATTCAAAGGTAAAAGAAAGGTCCAGTATGATGATGCATATTTGTCAGTCTAGCAAGCGTATGATTGGAAGAGGCAGTTTCAAAATGGTATGGGGTCACTGCTCGCTGGCCTGACCCAGTTGGAAGTCACAGAAGTCACATCATTTTGAAATATCCATATAATTAAATTATATTTAGAATCTTTGAATTTATTGTTATCTACTGCCAATATACAAGATACTGTCAAAACATAAATCCTACATAAAAGCCCTTCTAAAATTCAATAAAACTCACCACAAACATACCAACAGACTGTACACTGTTGGTGAGAGCATCTTAAAATAGCATATAAACATTTAATGAGACACCTGATTATAATTGCAGGCAAATGTGTTGTTCTGCATTTACACAGTTTCTGTATTTTGTTTAGGTAGCTGTATACATGGAGCTTCACAGAGATATTTAGTTGAGAAAGCAACACTAACTTTGCTTTCTCCTAAAAGATTTTGAATTCATCTTGTTAAAGTCCCCATGTAAGTTCCGGGGCATCATTTTGAGGTTTGGAAAAAAAAAACCTTACAAAAAACACAATCTAACTATCTCACAAAACAACATGTTGTAAAAAGCAATTAATTATGGTATTTGCTGAAACTGGATGTTTAAGGCTGAAAAGTACAGATATCAAAGCCTAGCTGTAAACCACAACATGAAAAGACGTACCTGTGACTGGAAATCTTGTGGTAAAGCAGCATTGACAATCTTCAGGTAATCTACTGTCATCTCTAGGATAGAAGCCATGTCTGTTTTCCTTCCCTTCACATAAGGCAAGAGAACTCGAAGCTGGTCACAGCTGTCTTTGATACGCTCTCTGTGGAGAGAGTTTGCAATTCAGGCTTACTATGTTTATTCTCGTAACTATCAGAACTGGTTGGATAGTTAATGTAAAAACCATTACAATCGACTTACAAGTATGTATCCAAGTGGTGCCTGCTTTGCTCATACAGTTTAAAGTCAAGAGGATGGACTTCATTGAACTAGGTTTCATCTAGTCTGTATGGTCCATAATTGTGAACTTTGTTTTTATTCTCCCTTTTTCTCTTTTGTACTGTTTTCCAGCGGAAAAGAACATTTAAGTTATACTATTATCAGATTTTCTCAGTGTGTATATTATTCAGTTTCACCATCTTTTCCTCACTTCTTTATTAAATTAAATTCGTGTAGACCCGTCTTATGCTCTGTATAAATGACTACATACCATTTAATTCCTTCTATTCTGAGCAGGGACCACTTATTTAATGTTTATATTATAGTTTACTATACAGTGGCATAAGGCTTAGTACAACTGTTTGTTGAGACTTGGTTAAAGTAAAATCCCAAGAACTGGGGATCCTCTGGATTTCTTAAGTACAGCTTTGGGGATTGACCTATACCTAGTAAAAAGGATACCAGATGATTTCCTGGGCAATGGCTGGGAAAAGGGCAATGATTAAGGAAACATGCCTCCACATCATATGTGTCTCCCATATGTTATAGCCACAAAGCATGTGGAGATACAGCACTTCACATCAGTGGCAGTATCTTGTTTGAGATTATCTTTTAGTGTTTTTTACCCTCTATAGACGCCGCTGCCAAAATATCGGCCCAACGCAAAGAATAAAAACCTTGATGTTGGCTGGAAGGTTCTCGTACCAGCCAGTCGGACTGGTTCTTACATTTCTTGAACATGTGGGCTGTTCATTTCGAGAAGGTTTGATGTGTTCTGTGATTTTACATCAATTTTTTTCTGGGGTTACCTTGGCCCCAAAAATGGCAAAAAGGACTGTTGGATCATAGCAACTGAAAACATAGCTGGAGGCAGGAAAATGAGTAGAACCATGTGCCAGACTTGTCTGAAGGGCCTCCAAGGGCCTTACTTCCCAAAATACAGGTGTTAGGACTTATTCAAGCTTCATCCATAAAAAGAATTAACCCACATTAGGTAAGTTATGTTTGTTCCCAAGTTTTTTTTCAAATTGCTTGCAAACATTATGCAAATCAGAATGCTAATTTGAGTAAATATTGAAATTTCAGTTTGGTTCATAAATATTCTGTTATTTCATTTAATTTCCCACATGAATGTATATAGTTTTGCATACAATAATTGAATGCTTCATTTTTTAATACTTTTATTTTGGTATAAACTATGAGAATCCCCTCCCGAAGGCTCTGTCTTCTTGGCATCAAAACTCTAAATAGGTTTCATTTCCAAAGGGTTAAAAACATACATTGAGCCAGTGCATTTATATGCCACCTGACACCACTATCAAGACTTGCAAATGTAAGTACCAGCACTGAGAAACAGATTATAAACAGTATATCTAACTATACCAAAACTGTGCTAACAGTTTCAGTTTGGACATAACGTAAAACTAACACGAGAAATTAGTTGACTGAGAAAAGTCACCAGCTTAACCATTTGAGAGAAAGTTGGAAACTATATTATTAGACAGACTGTGGAAACAACACTATGCAATGAATTCACTGAGAAACAGAAGATCAAATGGTTTGGTCATCTAGTAAGAATGCAGCCAGAACAACTACCAACACAGGCGCTACACTTGAAAACATCTGAAGTGAAAGCAAGAGATTGTCCTATCTCAGTAGATGACACTAAAGTGCTTTTGCATCCACATGGAATGACTATAGCTTTTGCTGCTCATCAGGCAATCCCATATTACAGGGGGTTAGGATTCAGACAAACTGTTCCTTCTCCCAACACTTAACAACAGAAGTGGAAATTGATGATGATGAAAGACATACATGCATAAATAAAGGATATTACAGCACTCTTCTGGACAGGCTGTATTAGCACATTGTTCGATACCAGTGTCGATACAATAAACAGTAGGATATGGCTTATTAAGGATTTAATGAAGGCACTCAACTGTTGAGGGGCTGAGTAGTCTCGAGGCCTGGTGTTTGCCTCGAGTACAAGAGGTCCCAGGTCCAGGCCCTGCCTCGAGTACAAAGAGGTCCCAGGTCCAGGCCCTGCCTCTAGTACAAGAGGTCCCAGGTCCAGGCCCTGTTGAAGGCTGGGATTTTTTCCAGTGGATTTCTAGTAATTTTCCCTGTTCTTTGGGTAGTACGACCATACGCCTGTGTGTACTGTTGCACACGTAAAAAAATCTCTTGACAGTTGGGAATTAAAAAAAATAGTCTAACAGCCCTGCCTAGGCAAAATTTGAAGTTAAAAATCTACCCAAAGTATTTCAGGATCCTCGCCTGTGCTACGGAGTTCCATGCACTGTACTGAGATTCTTCAGACTTGGGTCTGAGTTAGAAGCAGAACACAGCACTTATGGGTTTCTACTCTTGTGCCATGCTGTTGATTTCCTGTTCTAACCATCAACTGTTGGGCATAAGTCACATGTTTAAATCATCACACACAGACACACAAAAAATGATCTTGGTTCCCAGGTCAGCCCAACCTAAAACTGGTACCAGAAAATGTTATGGAAAGAAAAATCAGCTGTCATGATGTCAAAAATCACACATCAAGTACCGATTGGTCTATAAAAATGTAAGCCTGGCATAATATATTCTTTGCACTTTTGACATACAAAGTGCATTTTACTTTACTTTAAGGATCACATGGGTAGATCGGGAACAATTTTCAGAAGAATTAAACAAGTTTCAAGATCTAATATATATATAAATATATATACACACACACACAAATAAAACAGTTTTATTCTTTTTTAGGGAAATTCAATTTTATCGGGGGTTAGGGTTAGGGTTAGTATTAAATGAATAGTGACTGCTACTAACCATAACCCTGACTACTGTATAATATAGGATTTTCCTAAATCACATGTGATGTGGTTGCTAAATAGAAAAGAACCAAGGAAACAATAAGTAAAGCAAAGTTTGCCATTATATGTAAGAAATAATAGAATAATTGTAGCTTTCAGCTTGTTCTTAATAATACTCGAAAACAGTATTGCTGATTTATAATAACATATATATAATGTCAATTGCTGTTAAAACACAGAACTATGTATGAGTTGGATGTTAGGCTATTAGAAGTTAGTATGTAATTAATGTACAGCCAAAGTCTTCATAAACTTGCGACACTAAACCAAGTAATAACTAAAGCATATTGTTTCGGACAAATAAAAATTACAAGAAGTAAAAGTTCAGAAACTCTGGCCATGCTCTGAAGTGTGTCAGATACATGGCATTAGCACTCTATTTTTAGACCAACTGGCATGTATGGGTCAATATCATGCTGTCTGTTTTTACTTCCCCAGAAATTTCCTGTTGCCATTTTGAGCTTGTTGGGTCTGAGAGTCCAGGTCAATGGGTAGTAAAATTCTGGAAATCTACACAGAATACTGAAATATATCTCATATTAAGTGATGTTTTTACATTCCACTTGTTCTCCCATGTTTTAATGCAAAACCCATATGTAGACCAGAAGCTTCCCAGAACATAAAAGTCAGTTGCATATCCTTACAGGATATCATAAATTGATTCTAGAAATGTGATTTTGCGTGGTTTTACTAGGAATTTTAGATTGCTTACTGAATGGTTGGCACTCATATCGCTGTTCAAATTAACACAAAGAATTCTGCTGCCAAACTGCCCACACCTGAATCTTCTTTTTCTTCACCAGTTCTGTTTTACTTTTTAGCATCAGCTTCTGAATAGACATCAGGTGTGAGCCTCAGATAATCCATCTGGCCATCACTTGCGTGGTCGACTTCTAGTCCTGCATTCATTATGTCTGAAGTAACAGGGCTATCTGTGGTGCACTGTCTGGTGGTAGTCTTGACATACTTCTAAACCATTTGGTCTGTTGTGTCTTGATGTAGCTGAATCAAACTCAGTATACTGGACATATGAAACTGCACTGAAATTGTAACCCCTAAGCCACAGATGTTGATAAGAACTAAATGAAAACAAAGCCACATAACAACCACAAAACCTTGTAAAGAACCAACAAAGTGTAATAACAATGGTAAATATTTTCTTCTTCTTCTCTTTCGTTCGCTTGAAATAAATTATCTGTATCTGCAATATTGTCTCTAGTACGAACTTCACTGTCTTTTGTAAATATGTAAAAGGTAAAAATTAATACCCTTCTAAACATTGTGACAAATTAAGTAAAGCATTTACACAGCAGTCATGAAGTCAAGCAGGAAATGATGGTTAACTGGTTAATTGTGAGACTTCTGTTTTAACTCTTCAAGTTATCTGTGTGGGTTCAAGGGCCCCATTTTGGGCGAAAAAGTGTAGGCCCACTGCCTCTCCCCCCCCCCCCCCCCAACAAGCATGTGGTAAAAGTAAACTAATTAGGGGTGTTTCCTTTAAAGTTAAAGAACATCTGCTTGAGAGGTGAAGAGCCAACAGTCTGCTTATAAATATGCCAGATCTGTAAAATGGATGTGCACACACAATTTAAGTCTTAGATCAATCAAGATCAAAGTCAAGAAGTTGGTGAACAATCAGGACTTTCTGCCACAAATTACAGCCAACGAACACACAAAAGGAGAAGAAAAACTCTTAAGTCTGTTAAACCGATATTCAGATCATCTAGATCCTGAAAAAAAAAAAAAAGACTATCAGAGTGAGGTGGTTTAAAGACTTTCCCCTAAACTGGTATCAAAGTATTGTTGTTCGTCCATCACGAGTGATGAAGACCACTTTCATCCAAAGTAGTAATGATCAATGATTATGAGTACAAATGTGGCTGATTAGTCCAGTATGAGCCAGGAAAGTTCTTGAGCAGTGCGGAAAACAGATGGAAGCCGCAGTAGGTGTGGGATTAGCAGTACGATTGATGATAGCTGGATGAAAGCGACTTGTGCAAGGATTTGGATTTAAGTG